GACTAGAGAACATTACAGATAGGGTTCCATCTTACCTTTTGAACTTCAGTTTGAGCCTGTTTGACATTGATGTTGCCAGACACAGACTGCTTTCTGGTCTTTGTGGAAGGTCACAAATAATATTTGATCTCACTACTCACAGAGAAAACAGCTTCAAGAACCAGGCTGCTGCCTGTAGGGAGTCTAGGATAAGCTCCTTCCACTATTTTGCTTAAAATGTTGCTGGGTCACCAAGGCAGATCTAGTTTTGCTCCATCTTCAGAAAAGAATTCCCAGCATGTATCAGAAATAATTTAAGACAACTTCCGAGCACAAGGAGGAAATTTCCTGTTTCATAGAGGCATCTGCATGCATGGAATAACTATACTTAACCTTATTTTGTGAAGGTGGAAACCTACGTGCCTAATTTAAACCTATATTTCACATTTTATAAACACATATCAAGTCCAAGTGGGGAAAAATAACAGGATAGAGACTCACGGTAATTAAAATTAGACTTCACCACTTCAAAATGCATCCTCTCTGATGCATCACTTTTGCTTTAACATTCATGTGAGAATCCTAGGAGACTTCTTGTCATGGGCTTTATAAACTAATATCATATGCAAATTTGGTTGATGAATATGAACTGAAAAACTGCATACAAGTTGTTGACAAGCAAAATTGATATTTAGGATGAAAAGGTATCTGAACTTTGTAATGGGTCCGCAGGAGTTACAGACCAAATTTTGCATACTCATGAAAATTATTTCACAAGGCAAAACCACAAAAAAACCCCAAACAAACAAAAGAAAAAAACACCTGAACAACACATTCCAAAGAGGATGGAAATATGTTAAATAGTTTTCTGCAATAGGGAATAACTATGGCCTTAGAAGTCATGTTTTCTTTTCTATCCTTTTAATAACAGGTTCTAACTCTAAATTGTATGACAAGAAATGCTACTTGCCAACAAAATCATCACAAGCTGCCTAAAAACACAAAGAGAAAGGATCAAACCATTTCAGAGTTTCTTTCTAGTGCCCAGAGAATAGTGCCCTCTGGGTGTCCATTAGAATATTCTGTGGTACTTGCATTGAAGCCTTACGTGCCCAGTAGGGATTGAAGTCACTATCAATTCATTACCTATGGGATGGTCATCAGCTTGCAGAAGGAAGTACTTGTTCTTGAAGCAATTACATTAGAGCAGATGAAAGAGTAGATATTCCCTTCTGAGGGAGATATTTTTAGTTCTATCATATGATAAAATCTGCACCACAGGTAAAGGGTGGATTTGCAAATTACAAAATTCTGGCAGCAGTTCAGATCATCTCCCTTATTCAGCAAGGCATTTATTCCTGGGGTTAACCTTTAGCATGCTCAACATGCTTCACTGAATAGCAAAAACCTGCACAAGCCACAGAAAAAGTAAATGTTAAGCATGCAACAAGAGAAGCATTGCTACTGTACAGATTACTTTCAAATTCCTAGCTTAGTCTAAGATTTTAAATCAAAGTTCCCTGAATATAACCTATGAAGTTATCCAGGCAAATTCTGAAGTTAATTCATTGGAGGAAAGAAGTCTTAGCAACATGAGGGTATAAAATTTTCAATGAATGCTCATACATTCACATGGATATACTTAAATGCAATCAGGTTTTAGAAACAGTTGAGAACATTCTTCAGAAAAGCATGTGATTGTATTTCAGAAATGCTGCCAGCTTGATGCATTAAGAGAAAAACTAAAGGAATATCAGAACTGACCATGAAAGCCCTTTAAACTAGAACACTTTCCACAAATACCCAGTGAACCTTTTTATTCATTTGTAAAGGGATGTTGTTGAATGAGTGTATTATGCCTTGGAATAAGATGAGATGCGTCAAGTCTTTGAAAGAGATATAACAAGTAACAGAACCTCCTGTAACTGTTTAAAAAGCTCTGGAATAAAAGTTTTGTCCAGATCTCTTTAGAGACAACAGTAGAATCCCTCCATCCAACTTCAATAACATGTCCTTGCTGCACATCTTATGGGATATGAACATAGATTAGAGCTACATGTTTTTCCACTTAGAACCACCTGTTAAACCAGCAGTTACACTTCCTCCCTTGAATTCTGTTTTCATAATGTCTCTCCGCCAGGTGCTGCTAAAATTGTGATACTGAGTTAAGAAAAGTGTAAGGACACATCAATGCTTCTACTGGAAGCCACTAAACAACTGTCAAAATCCAATGAAGTTTTTAAACAACGCCTCCACACAGAAGTGCTATCCTGAAGTATATCTGAAGATGCATCCTGTAGGGCTTGTAAGAAAAACTTACAGAATTCCAGGTAGCTGCAGGCAGGCCAAAAGAAAAGCCCTGTCAAGGTTGCAAAATGACAGAGTATTTTAGCCTAGTGCTGAACACAAGCTAAGAACCTGCACAATCTACTCACTCACATACTTCTAGGCTTGTAGCTTGGTAATTCAAGCCTGAATCTCCTTCCAAACAATCATTTAGAAGATGTACTCTGATTTAAACTGGGGTTTAACTGTAAAAAGATGGCAGGATTAAGCTGTAAATCTCATGGCCACAGCTGGTATTCTATTCTTCTCAAAAGTGAGCTATACCTGTGTTCATTATTCCAGCACAGTTCAGATAAATACTGGGGTTTAGCCTCCAAGGACAGAATGACACCATGTTTGTCCTGTAAAGGGCCATGAATGCCTGTGATATTACATAATCTGCAGGACAAAATCCCACCAAGATAAATGTTTGTACAAAGTGGTTAAGTAAAACCATTTTAGATTACTATTTTTGTGCAATAACAGGAATTAACAGAGGAAATCATGCACATTGAGATTCAGCTGTGTTGAGAAGCTGCACCAGAACTGAACACGTTTTTTTCTTTTGTGGAAGTTTGTCACCAAAAAAAAAATCCAAGAAAAATGTTTATACATTTTACAAATAATAAATTTAAATTATCTCATTTCTGTAAAAAGAAAGTATCCATAATAGAGGTGATATTTTATCCAAGTGTTTGTTCAATGTTTTTGCTAAATGCAGTAGAATATATTTGAAGTATTTCTTAAGTGGTCTTTTTTTCCTGATTTTTTCCATGCATTTAAAATGAATAAAATCCCTGGAACAAGTGGTAGGATACATCAGGTAAACAATCAACACTGAACATCATCAGCAAAACACTGGAAAGAGCACCATAAAGCTGGTCCATATTAGTTGCATTGAAAGATGCCTTCAAGCAAGACAGTGGTGTATGATGAATCCAAGTGTAACACCATTTTGTTATTCAGCCTTTCTTTGATGATTAACAGAATAGGAGTAAAAGTAGAATCATGGTACAGTTTTACATAACATTTTATTTACCTGCTTTTGACTTAAGAAATTATTTATGTCTGATGTAAAGTAAAAAACTGTTAATCTTTTAAACCAGGATACAGATCAGGTGCTATATAAACAATTCCAAAAGGAACTCCTCTAGTCACAGAATTCATTTTCCTTTTCTTCTGGTGCTTACATGCTGACAGATGGAATGACATGTTTTGGGTCAGGGGGCTTTTCCACCAAGCAGAACAAGTCAATTTACATTCTCATCAAAATCTAGCAGCCTGTGTATGAGTTTCCTTTATTATATTGGTAAAGTATCCCACTTTAAAAAGTACTAATCTACCCTGTGAAAAGTAAATACTTGAACCTTATCACATCTTTCTTTTTAAGGCTCTAGGCCAGACTGTCCTAACCAGAAAACACTGTTTTAATCGAGAGCACAGCAGGTTTGATGCTGCATAAATTCCCACCTAGATACTTAGTGAGTTGAGTATTCACCCACATCAGGTACCAAATTCACCCTTTGCTAGTGCTCATGTAATGCCCCAGACGAGGGGAATGCAGAGGCCTGGGGAAGGCAGTTTCCTGTGGGCTCTGGAATTATCCATGCTGGATGACAAAAGGGATAATCAACTATGGAAAAACAAAGATACAAATAAAAGGACATGCAACAAGTTCAGCTTTTAAAAAAAAAAACGACAAAACAGACACTTAACTTGTTTGCAGAAAACACAAGCTAGAATAGATAAAACATGATAGGACTCAGAATAAATAATCTGCAACAAAGATCTTAAAAAAAGACTAAAACCAGTTGGGTCGAGGAATTAAACCCATCTTAATGCAGAAGTAAAAAGATTCCTCAAAAGACATTTTGACCTGTAGAAAACAACACACAGGCTAACATGCTACACTGAGGGCCTGCTTTGAGAAGCTATATGGTACATGCATATCAACTAATGGAAGCTGATTTTGGTTTGCTTTAGGGTTTTTATTCCTCCAGTGAAATACTGGAAGCAGGAATTCTCCTCAAATACTTGGCAAGGTCACGAGATGATCACAGTCAGAGTATTTAAGATAACACTGAAGCAGAAGAAAATGATAGCCTTTTCACTGGTGCTCACTACAGAGGCCACTGGGGGATTTTCATATCAGAAATAAGATTAAAGCTCTGCCTGACACCATTGTTACCATGTCAAACCCTAAATAATCTGCTCAAAATCACTGACTACATCCGAGACAGCTTTCGTATCTACTAAAAATATGACTGCAGCCAAAGGAACTGTTTAGGTGCCAGATGTGAAAGCTACCAGACACTAAATAATTGAGCTTATTTTCAACATTTTGTTGCCCCAAACGTGCTAATATAGCTATTGTATTTATTTCTTAAAGACTTAGCACTTCAGTCAAGACAAAGTTTGATCCTATTTTACCAATGGAATCAGTGGGAAATTTCAAGACAACCAGACCATAGGGTCTTCCATAGGTACATAAGTATGAAAAGAACAGCAAGTCCAGGAGAATTTAGAACTGTCTGGCAGATGACCATTTGTCAGGCTGACAAGCTGATGAACACAGCCTGAGAAACCAACACCACTCAAATATAACACAGGTCAGTTCTCCCAATCTTAATCAGAACAATCCATACATCCCTTGGCAGACAAACAGAATGCACGAGTCCATACATCCTTTCCCTCACCATCTCCCAAGGCACTGGCTCCTGTAGGTGCTCCAGTCCTCACAGGCAGTGACAAACTGCATCCCACCTCCCTTTGGCTTCTGAAGTGCAGTCATACAGTAACTGCCCAGTACAGGTCTCTGAAAAGCAAAACAGGGAAGATACAAGTACAGTCAAAACCAAATGTGAGCCCAGAGCAATATAAGAGAAAAATACAACATCCCTAAGTCAAACAATATGATTTGTGTTGCAACCCAGAGCAGTAGCACAAGACCCTCTCTCCACAAAGCCAGAGCCTGATGGCCATTGAACAGTCTGACTTCACACCATCAATCACAGTTACAGCAACACCTGTGGTAAATGACTAAAACCCACAGTGCTCAATAACCCTTAACACCTTCCATATTTTATGATTTTTTTAATGCACGAGGGCAAAGGGGAAAGGTAGCACAAACAGGTTTTTTTCAAGAAAATTTGCCTAGAGACCGTTGCTCCAATTTTCTTGGCTTCCCCTGTAGGAAGGATAAGATTCTCCTATCTGTCAGCAGATGTTTGTATCATTGTTGCATTCTAATGCACTGACTTATTTACTGTGGCAAGATGAGTTGTGTAGAGGCCTGCTCTCATTTGCTAGACCTGCAGGCTAGTCAAGACAGGCAATGAGTATTTGAGAGGGGGCTCCATTCTTGCCCCAAATTGCCAAGATTATAGTTCAAGGACACTCCAAAAAACACTTCTTTCACCACTTTTACCCAAATTTTAGATGTTACATCAATTTTAAAGTTTTGCTTGGCCAATGCCAGTTCTACACAGAACAGGGACAGTGGAACCTAGAGATGGTTGTAGCCCATAACTCTGGCATTGCTACCAGGTGACTGTGGCTTTATAGGGGAGATGTAGCAATCCAGTTTGATGTTCAGCTTCATGTTCTTCCTTGTCAAATACCAAATGCTCATTAGTAGGAGCAGCCTAGGTGTATTAACTTTGAAGCTCATCTTCAACAACTTATATGAAACAGTCATGATTGATGGAAGCAGAGAAATGGAGGAAATGGAGCAAAAGCATGAAGTACCAGACCAGCTGTAGATACACCCATTCTCTTCATTTCAACTGACTCATTCCACTACAGTGTTTTTATTTATATAATTATCTCTTCTGAGGATGAATCCAAAGGTCTCTTGAATTACTCCCACAGAGCAAAGAAGGGAGCTATTTAGTGTGAAATCAGAACATTTTTAGGAGCAGTGTTTGTACTTAGCTGTCTCAACCCAGACTCTTACTAGGGTGAGTCTTCTACTCTCATTCTTTACATCATTGTTGAATCTGGGCACACAGCCCCTGCAGATTCACATTTAACAGGGCTCTCAGCCCACAGAGAGAGACTTGGACTCCCAAATGAGCAATACACAATTAGCATGAAAATTAGTCAAAACTCCAGCAATAAGATGACTCCATGTACTGTATGGGGACCTGAATCTGTAGGCAGGGAAAGTTTGAGTGATTTCTTTTCTTTCGGTTGGTGTGAGTGGTTGGTTTTTTTGGTTTGCCATTAATGCACATCAAATCTGAGGATTTATTACTTATGAGTGAGTACCTCCAGTGCAGTACCATAACTCTCATTAATATCACATTTTCAAAAGGCAACGGGTTTTCCACACTGACAGTCATTTCTCAAAAGAAGCAAGAGGAGCTTCTAGCAGATGACTTCTTAGATCAGTGAACACAAAGGAAAAACTCTTCTGTTCTCTAAATATTTTACTCAGCTGCCACTGTCACTCTTCTGGAGTTAGACAAGTCTCCTGAGAAGCAGCTTGGGTCTAATCCATGGAGCCTCAGACCTGTGATTCCCCTTCTCCAACAATTCCAAAATGCCTCAGAGGTGCGTGAGGTGTTCAGTCCCTGCCTACCTACATATTTAACTTGCTTTTCTGCCTGAGGCCCTTTCTGTCACAAAATTCACAGAAGCTTCATATGAGTGAGAGTGGGAACAACAGGAATGATGTCCTTAGTTTGTCTTTTCACTGTCTCCACAGGTGGTTAGGACTCAGAGCCCCTTTACTACTGCTTAAAACTCTAAAATAGAAAGAGTTTTCTTCTGAAATACATCAATTAATTCCACTGTAGGAGAGAGACTTCACTTCACTAAAGTACAAATCAAAGAGCCAATACATAGTACCAGCAATTACATTTACTATTTATTACATACTGTGATAAATCACATGAGCTGCAATGCATAGCACACTACTGCAAAACAGTTAATATTGGTTTACCCTGACAGGAAGGAACATGATATACACCACAGTACTGTGCTAGTTACTGTGAGAGTTGCCATCCTGAATTAGTTTGAAGGTCCATCAAGCATGGTATTGACTGACACCAGTATCAGATGTTTAAGGAGGGAGTCCCTATGGGGGCAATTACAGACTAATTTACCCATAAGGAAATTCTCCTTTAAAGTCCATCAATTATACTCTGAGGCATAGGGATTTATATCTCATGTTTTTAATCCTTCCTAACTTAACTCTAGGTTATCTTATTATACCTATAAATGCTTAACCCTTTTTCAAAGCCTACTAAGCTTCTCTTAGTATAACAATTATAAATTATGCATAACTTTCCAAGCATGTAGATAAACACAACAAAAACACATGCTAACTGGAAAATTATTCATGGGAATTGCATAAAAATCCATCATATGCATCATGGAAAATTCAGCAGGGCTGATCATTGAGAAACCTATCACAAACATTCAACTTAATGTCTTCCAGCAAACTTCTGTGGATTAGATAAAAAATTGCATCTAGAATGGCAAAGTTAAGTGTCAAACATCAAGAAAAAAAAAAAAAAGGCAGTGTTTGCTATGTTCTCACCATCTCAGTAAGCCCATTTATAGGGGTGTTTCCTATGTTACAGTATCCAGTACATCATCCAGCTTCTCAACACACAGTCACAGATGGAAGTCTGTTTTGTCAGACCTGTAATTCAGCAATTTCATGGAGAATAACACACAGGACTGCTGTGGAATTCAGTAAGAGACCCTGCATTCACATGGAAAGCAGAGAAAATGCCTTTGGCATCCCCCCTCGGTGGCCCCTTGACAGGAAGGCTGTACACAGCTAAAGTTTCCTGCTTGCTACAGAGCTGCTGGAAATGTACTGAGGTAAGGAGGCATGGGAATCAGATCACCATATTAACAGGCACTTTCCTAGCCCATCCGAGGAGCTGAACAAGAAAGGTTTATAAAATACAGCAGCAGAGCTCTGCCTGTTCTGTACATATAATAGGACATAGGTCACATCATAGGATTCAGCAAGAAAAACTGCATGAGCAGTAGGAATTGCCACCTGACCAAAATGAGTTCTGGAAAACTGTTCAGATCTGGAGAAAAATCTGAAATTCAAGTAATTAATCTCACACACACATTAAAGAAAATACCCTATTTTTTTTTTAGTTGCTCTGAAACCATACATCAGCTTTCTAAGGACACAAAAGGGAGTCTAAAATTGATTAAAATATGAGCAAATTTTCCTCCAAATATACAAAACTACCAGGGTGAGGGAAAGGCTTTCTGGATATAATTTAAATACACTTCAAGAAGTAAAACTCAGCTGCCCTCTGACTGCTGCAACTGCCAAGTTTTTCAAGTGTTTCCTCCTCCTTTGCTACTTTCACCTTGGGAACTTGATGGATGCACTACTACCATTCCCAGGGGCCATTCATGTCTTCTGAAGTGCCTGCTCTTACAGGGCTGTTCACTGCTCTCTTGTGCACAAACATAAAGGAAAGACCCCCACTCGAACTTCAGTCAGCCCATACCAACATCTACTGACAGGCACGGCACAGACAGGTTGGGAAAGGGTGGCACTTATCTCTCCTATGGCATTTTACCATGTATAAATTACTCCTGGTCTCTGCCAGAGACAGATCAGGTAGACTCCATTCTTGTCCACAGTTCTCAGAAGCCAAAAGTTAACATAAAATGTCTGCCTTCTAACACAGCACAAATGAAAACCCCAGTGTGAATAATTGATGTCATGGCTCACCGGATGAAGAGCCAGAAGTATTTCACATCAGTCCCAAAACTTCATTTATCCTAAATGTCATGCAAGACGAAAAATTTGCTTCAGCTCAAGAGACCCTACCCCTTTTCCTACATATAAAATTATTTATTGATTTGGGATTAGGAATTTTTGCTGGATTGGGGGGAGGGAGAGAGGGATGGAAGTTACAGCAGTCAGGGGATTTTAAAAAAAACCCAGTTTGCCACTGGTTGAAACCATCACAGTTGTCACAGGAAATCCAAGTTCACATTCCCATGCTCAAGCAAGCACAGAACAAGCTGAGCCCAGGTATCCTATATCATATCCCAGGATTTCATCCAGAAGTCCACAATTCCTAAGGATGGAAGGACACATTAGCAGTATCTCACACCATCTGAGCTGGCTCTCTAATCAGCACTCCAGTCCTGACTTGTTTTACTTCAACTGCAACCACTTCCTGGATTAGAACAGTCTAAGGATAATTTAATGTGAACCAATTCTGATTTTTCTAATGAACACATTAGTTGACCTAGTATGAAACTAAAGCTGTAATTCTCAAACTTCTGGGCACAACTTCAGAAGCAACATTAGTGGAATAAGAGGGGATATTTTTTTATGGATATTTTAGGACAGAATAGACCATACCAAGCATGATGGTGCAACTGAACAGGGGAGCATTCAAGAAACTTGCTCTCACAAGACACCTTCCCTCTGCATCAGGTACCAAAATCCTGGCAGCTTGCACCTGCTCCTCTGTGCCTGGACAGCTACTTGTTAAAACAACTACAGTGCTACTGTATCATCACCCCCAAAGAGTGCTCCCAGGACCTGCAGGATGCACAACAGACACCAACAGAAGCAAGATTATGGCTACTTGAAGTGCCATTATTGGCAAAATTTCAAAACCAGTCAGTGTCATTTTATAGCCATTCATTTTTTTAAATCCCATTTATAGTTAAATATCTCCTTTCCATGGGTGGATTGTAAGACACAGGGGGAGCAGTGCAGAGAGATTCCAGTCCCATGACTAAGGGGTCACAGGGAGGCACAGTTCACCAAACTTGCTTTTTAAAAAGTCAGAACAAGCCTAAACATAATTC